GTGGAATGAACTGGCCCAACACCAAAGCCAGAGGACAACAGAAGAAAACGAAACTACAGAACAGTTTTTTCATGAACATATACAAAAATCCTCAACAAAATATTAGCAAATCAAATCCAGGAATGTACAGGAAGAATTCCATTCCACAGGTGGGATTTACAATGGTTATTTAAGGTTGGATAGGCAAATAAAAATCAATGAAGCACAGACATGACCATATCAAATGATGCAGAAAGGGTCCTGACAAAATCCAACAACTCCATGACAGAAACTTTCAGCAAATTAAGTTGACAAACAATGTCTGAAACAAATTTATAGCTCAAATATGAGAAACTCAACTGTCTCACTGATGAGAAACACGGTAAGAGGACTATCCCCTTTCACACTGCACCAAAAGTCCTAGTTAATGCAAAAAGACAGGAAATGGGAATAAAAACTAAATGTATAGGAAAGAAAAAAAAACATCTTTGCACATGCCATGCTTATCTATGTATAAGCTATGGAAGAAACAAAAACCAAGTGTCCGTAAGCAATTTCAGCAGGACTGAGACATGAGACTGAGAAAAGGCTGCAATCGCTGTCTATCAGCAATGAACAAGTGGAATCTGAAGTCAGAAATACAGCAGCATCTACACTGGCACTACCCAAATGAATCTTACATTGAAATCTAGCCAACTATGTAAAATACCTATAGGACGAAAACTACAAAGCTCTGATGAAAGACACCAGAGAACAAGGGAATAAATGGCCGCCGTATACTCCATGCCTGTGGATGGGGACCCAGGACTGTCAAATGTCAGTTCTCTCAGCCTGATCCAGAGTCAAGCAGTGCCATTCAAGTCTCTGTGAGCTGCTTTGTGGCCATTACAAACAGGCTATTTCAAGTGAAAGCAGAAGACCCGGAGGGCCAGTGCTGTCCTGAAAGAGAGAAATGTGACGGAGGGCTGACATGCCCCAAACTGAAGACTTTTATAAACTTGCAGTAATTATGGTTTTGGTAAAATACACAAATACATCAATTGATCTGAATAAAGAGCCAGAAATACATACACAGTCGGTTGACTTTTGACAAAGGAAAGATAACAGAAAAAGTAAACTTCTTCCCACTTCTTTTTTTTTTTTGGATGCTAGAGACAAACATCTTTATTAAAGACACTACCAAAATTTCGGCCAACATGAACAGATTTGTAAACAGAATGCTGCTCTTCCCGACTGGCAGCCCTGAAAAGATGATACAGGACAACACAACCTGAGTCAGCATTAGTTCAAATCCTTCCATTTGATCCTGTGACTTATGTCCCTACATGGTAGACAAGTGACAGTTTAAATCTGTGTTAACAGATAAACTTCATGAAATGAAAGTCCGTGCTGTTTGATGAATCACAGTATGTTATGGTTAAATATATCCACTTGTTTTTATATTCCTGGTATCCAGGATAAAAAAAAAATCTTTAAATATACACCTAATGTGGGTAATAGCTTCTTTGCAAATCTCTCTTCAAGAAATACTTTATAGCAGTATATAAATAGGTTACCTACACATGTAATTTTATCATTTTTCCAAAAAAGTATAGATCTGTTTCATTTTTATAACATCAATTCTTTTCCCAAACATTAACAAAATGGACACACCGTTGAAATGGAAAAGCTAGTCCTCCACAACAGAAGTAGCAATTTGACAGAAACAAACCAACAATGCTGACAGCCTGCAACAACACTCATCTGTTGTTAACCTGAGCGTCCTGCCTACTGAGGAGTAGCAGCTTTTTTTACCTTCCTAACATCCACATCAGCTCTGCAGACATACAAGCTGAACACACACGTTCTGACGTTCTGATGCTGGCAGGTCACAGCGTGCTTTTCATGGCTGTTAGCACTGAGAAGTGGAGCTACTGATTAACCGCACGATGAAAATACCTTAAGGCAGCCATTGCAATTGGGGTTTAACCTGCAGGGCAGATTTAACACTCCAGAGCCAGTCAGCCCATCCGTACGTATGGGATAGACAACTACACAACTTTCTGTTTTTATCCCACCAAAGCAATGTTTTGATTTTTTTTTTTTTAAATTTTGTGAATCTAAATTTTCTACCATTTAAGGCAAAGAGTTTGCATTTAAAAAGGTCAGAAAATAGGCTTATGTTTATCCAAATGCACATTACTGTCTTGTTTTGTTATAAACACATGCAGCTCTTAAGTGTGGACATTGCATCTCTGATACCTAAAAACTCATCTCAAATGACAAACACAAAGTTTCAAGGAAAAAATTGATTTTATGCATAGATACTAGATCCCCAATATCTAAAATACTTCTATTAACAAACAAGTGTTGGTGGTGGGGCGACCAGGAAAAAAAAAAAAAACAGCTTCAAAATGCAGGGAAGCAAAGTAAAATGGAGGGGAAAAGAGTAGTTTACTAATACTGAAACCTCCAACAAGCAAAGTTTCAGCTTTTAGAATCTAGAGCAGTGGTTCACAACCTATGGGTCATGACCCCTTTGGGTACTGAATGATTCTTTCACAGATACTTACATTACGATTCCTAACAGTAGCAAAATTAGTTATGAAGTAGCAACAAAAATAATTTCTGGTTGGAGGTCACCACTCCATGAGGTACTGGATTAAAGGGCTGCAGCATTAGGAAGGTTGGCAACCACTGCTCTAGAACAACTTATCTAGACCTTTAAATAAATAAGACTAAGTTTCTTCACATCTTCTGAGCCAAGCAGAGTTCCAGTGCCATGACTCTGTTTGCTGTTGGTCAAATTCACCTATTAGTTTTCGGATGTGAGCGGACTGTAATGAAGACCCCCGAATCTGTGGTTTTCTTCATGGTAGCGGAGGCAGTGAAACCTTCTGTAACCTCTTCACTGGGATCTAGACTGGAGCTCCTCAGCTTGGCAGTTTCTTCTCTCTGAAGGTCTTCTTCCTTTTCCTCCATGCTCTTAATGTCACATCGTGTCTTTTTTTTTTTTTTTTTTTTTTTTTTTTTTGAGACACGGTTTCTCTGTGTACCTCTGGCTATCCTGGAACTTGTTCTGTAGACCAGGCTGGCCTCAAACTCAGAGATCTGCCTGTCTCTGCTTCCTGAATGCTGGGATTAAAGATGCATCACCACTACCCAGTAAAAAAGTAAACCTTCAACAACTGGACACACAAACAAATCAATCCAGAAGTCTAGACAGGCACCTTCCATCTCTCACAAAAACTAACTCAAATGGGATCGTAGATGTAAATATAATTCTAGAAAGTAACACAAAAAGTTTTCAGATCCATAGCCAAAATCACAGCTGCTTACCAATCCCTGTATCTGAAAAACTGCATGGGAAACCTGAGAGGAGATTCCTTGATCTGCTGCAACTGCCTACCAGCTGTCCTGACGGGTGCGTTTGCTGGACATCGTGTTTCACGACCATTTCTTTGCCATAATTATAAAATCTCACAGAATCTCTTCCACGGTAGGACATGTCATTAGGGCACCCAAACCCATGTTCCTAGGCCATGCTCACTCGTATTTCACTCAGACTCAACCACCTTGGGACAAAGGTGGTGTTTTGTGTTATCACTATTTATACAGTAGCTTTACACTTTATACACTCACAATTGCCCAAACTTGGAAGCAACAAAGACACCATTCAGCAAGTGAATGCAAAATTAAACTGTGGTATATCTAGGCAATGGACTGTTATTCAATGCTAAAAGTTAACCAGTTAGGGCTGGAGAGATGGCTCAGTGGTTAAGAGTGCTTTTTGCTCTTGTAGAAGCCTGGAGTTGAGTTCTCAGAACCGACATCCAGTGGCTTACAAGACAAAGGACCTCTATAGACATCCACATAAATGTACAACACACACACACACACACACACACACACACACACACACACACACACACACACACACACGGTGGGGTGGGGAGATAAGCCTAAAGAAAAGAAAGAAATCAGCCATCAAGCCATGAGAAGACATGAAGGAACTTGTGTGTATTAGTAAGTAGAGATACCAATGTAGACTCTGATCCAATCATATGCCACCCCAGGAAAGTTAATGCTGAAAAACACTAAGAAGATCTGGGACTTGGCAGGGGTAGGGAGATGGGGGGGAGAGCAGGCAGAGCATAGGCAGTTTCCAGGACAGTCACTCTACTCTGACATTCAATGGGTCTCTGTCATACATCTGTCAGAACTCAAGAAGGTTGGCTCAAGTGGATAAGAGCACTTGGGCAATCATGAGGACCCACACACGTTAGGTATGTATGTAATGCATACCAGTACCTCCAGCTCCAAGGAGGGCAGAGACTGGGCAATCACTGGGGCTTGCTGAGAAAAGACCCTGCCTCAAAAGAACAGGTTGAGAGTGACAGAGGACACCTAACACCCTCTTCTGACCATTGCACATGCATGTCCTTCCTTCCCCATGTGTGCATGTGGTTTACACACACACACACACACACACACACACACACACACACAAAAACACAAACACACCACACACACACACACACACAAACACAAACACACACATACACACACATCTTTATAAAAAAAAAACCTCACAGAATGTGCCCTATCACCAAGAATGACCCTCACTGTGGACTTTGGTGGTGACCCTGGGTTAATGTAGGTCATGGTTTGTTCCCAGTGTCCCAATCTGGTGAGAATATAGATGGGAAGGAGGAAGGTGAATGCATGGCATGGGAACATTCTGGATCTTTTGACAATTTTGCTATGAACCTAAAAATCCTTAAGAAAAAATTAAGTCTATTTAAATTTTTTTTCATGGACTAAAACTTCAGATCCTGTGTTTATACTTGACTCTTTCTCTTTCAATACATTCTGCTGCCCACTCACCAATGTCCTGACAAGAAAATCAAAAGTGTGCTCTTGGGCAGTGTCCAGTAGCTTAAGGAATTCAGTGTTTGCCTCGAGCCACGGCTCCTAGCACTGTGCTCAGTCTGTTCAGTTAGGAGGGCCACGGAAGGTTGGCCCTGGCCCAGATACAGTACCTGGGGGGAGGGTCTCCACACTCTGTGCTTTCTCATCTCCATTGCTGTGGTGAAGGTCTTTCTTTTTAATGGAGTCGATGTCGTTCCAGTCATCCTGGGGAAACAAAGACACTGAGTGAGCTGTGGGTCTCTGCTGGCTCACCTTCACCCACTTCAAAGGCTGTGTCTCATGATGCCATCACCCTGGGGGGCTCAGCAATGAGCAGGGAGGGCCCCAGCATAGGACAATCTTCATGACCACCCAGAAGTCTAGACTACTCTAGGGAGAAAGCGGGGGACAATCTCTGCAGGAACACACTTGCACCTCCCTCGGGCTGCGGCCTGACTGCACACCAATGGAAAGATCACTCGGAATTCCGGAATCCCAGGCTCTGTGGTGAGGACCACAGCAACTATGTGCTGCGCACAGCATTGTCATCGTTATCAAGGTGGTCCAGTCATGGAACCAAGGTAGGCTCTGGGAAATCCCCGAGGTTTGGGCCCTCTAAGCTCCTAATATGTCAGAGGGCACATTAATCCTACTGACGGTAAACCAGGCGCTCACAGGAGACTGCCAGGGAGCCAGCCTACAGAGCAAGACATAAGCTCTGGTGGAATTTATCCCACCCATATGGGCAAACAATTGGCTGTCATTTATCAACATTAAATCAAACTAAATAACAGCTCCACAGCCACATAGCTTAATGCATTTTCCACCCACTTCAATCTGATTTCTGAGAATAAAAAGTGTTTCTGTGCATAGCCCAAATAGGAAACCTCCCTCATGGAAGGGCACTTCTGGAGCAGGTGAGGATGCCGGGCACTGGGAACCCCACTGGCAGCCCAGCCTGCTCTCCGTGTAGTGCCATTCCTTGGCCTGGCCTGCTGTGTGCACTTGCCCTGCTGTGCTGGCTCTAAAAAAGACCTTGGGCCCTCCACATGTTACCTGCCCTGCCCATCATCTGCATCTAAGGGAAGTCACCCTGTCCTTAGCCCCTCCTCTCTCTGTAGCCTTTCCTTCCTCCCATGGCTTCTGCAGTACAGTGATATGGTTGGGTTTATCACAGGAAGGGCCTTCAGGGGTGGGAGGAGGAAGACAATGGACACACTGACCCCCTCGGTCTAAATCATGTCCTGACCTGGCCACCTAGCACGAAGCTTCTCAACCTCACTGACTCCTGGCACTTTTTGCTCCACAGCAACAGATGCTTTAACATTCATCTGGACACGATTTACAAATTTTCTTGCAGCCAGAAGGTTCTAAAACAATGCTTGTAATCAGCTTTTTTGATTATTGGATTATAAATAAACTTTCAACCCACCCCTGGTGAGGATTACGCAGTGACCCTAAAAACACAGCCAACTGTGTTTCACGGTAAAGGGGACCATTAGAGCTAGACCAGCCAGCTATGGCCCTGCGGGGCTGCACAGTGCTATCTTCTAATTAAGCGCCCGGTTCTATTTCATAGCTGGTTTGTCAGATTCTGTGACTAATAATACTTTCCTCCCACCAGGGCACTCGACCTCTCAAATACTCTGGCTACTGGATCAAGCTATTTCACCTTCAATAAAATCGAGTGCTGATGCCGTCTCTGGGGCTGGTGGTTCCAATCAAGTCCTAGTCTATGGCTGTCACATAATCAACACATCCAGGTCAACTATCAGCATTTTTTTTTTCCAAAATACACTTTCTCCCCACCTAGCCCCCAACTTCCCCATCTACTGTGTCTACCATAACCCTAATTCTGGAGGTGGCGGCGGCGCAAGGCCACGGTGAGTATGAAGAATGAGATAGCTCAAGGACCTGGTGGGGGTGGACCTGAGCAGAGGGAAAGATTACTAAGGCTGTGCACTGTCAGGGAATATCCATCACGTACCAGCCACTGCTCAGCCAACAACACACTGGCAGTCATTCCTGCCTTACTCATATGGTTGGAGACTTTAAGCAATTACAGAGGTCACCCAGCTGCTAAGAAGCCGCCCCAAACCCTAACCCTCCAGTTAAGCAAGTCACCAGGGGCTCATTCTGAGTATGTCATTAAAACTCAAAAATACTTTTCTGAGGGTCAAACAGGACTGCTTTGTAGTGGACTTCCACTCAAAATCCCCAATGGTGAGAAGGAGAAAGGGGAGGGTGGGAAGGAGCAGGAAGAGTCACAGCCTGGGCTGCTGCCGCGGAGGGGGACCGTCTATGCAGGCACGGACAAAACTGCCAACACAACCATCACCAATCCTATTGTCAAAGCTGAAGCACACTCTGAACCCAGAGCCCGAGGGCTGAAGCCCAGGCAGGGCATCTACTGTACCGCCTTCTAAAGGAAGTGGTTTCCCTCTCCACCCACTAACCCACTGCAGGGACGGGATGTGGCTCATGAAGCCACATCTCAGAACACACATGGCCAGTGACAGGCTCACTAGCTGAGACTCCCGGACACTTCTGTCCCTCTCTCCTTCAAGCCTACCACAGTTGTGGGTACAGCAGGCACAAGTGGCACCCCAGGCTGGGTGAACTTGGGCAAGAGCAGAGAACCAGCAAGCACTCTAGGAGGGCTCTGGGAGAGACTGCGCCCACGTACAGAGGAAGGTCTCAGGGAAACCTGAGGGAAGAGAGGAGAAAGGATAGGGAGGGGTCGGGCATGGTGGCAGCCCCCAACACGGAGCAGAAGACAAGGCTCACAAGGTGCCTTGAGGTTGTTCTAAAAACTCCTCTTTGAAGAGGCCAGCCCAAGTAGCCAAGACACAGATGCAGCATAAAGAAAGGTCACACTGAATAAGTAAGTCTAGGACGGAGAGATGGAAGTTAAGTCCCACTGGGAGAAAAGAGATCAGAGGCGGCACCAGGAGTCCATCTGGACACCCTGGACTAGTGAGTGAGGCAGGTGCTCCCGTCTGGAAGCAAGGCGCCCAGGAAGCCCTGAAGGAGGATCTGGGAAACAGGTGGAGTTTGGGCACACGTTTATCATCCACGCTACCCTCAAGCAGAGACCACAGGTGGGTGAGAGTAGAGCAAGAAGGGTCAGTCCTGACAGAGAAGCAGAGGACAAAAACACACGCTGAGGTGAGAGCTCCAGCTTAGGCCTGAGCCCAAGCCTGGAGTTCTAGGCAGGGCCCAGCCAGTGATAACGGGACCTCACCAGCACTGAACTTCAGAACTGGGAGGCTGGTGAGCTACCACGAGCCCCCGTGGCCCAGGTTTGCCATCATTAGTGGCCTTCCACACTAGCATGCAAGACCTCCAGGTCGTCTGTGGTCACAAGAACTGCTCCCATCCCGTCTGTGTGCTCGTGGCAGTGTGGTGAATACCTGGTGATGGCGGTAGCTCTAGCATGCTGCACCCTCACTGGCTCTGCCGTGGTCACCTTAGGGCTCCCCACATCTACGGTGTTAACAACACAGCTAGACCAGCAGCACTGTTCAAACAGGAGTGTCCTAATGCCACCATGTGGTGACGCCTTGTGTTTGGGGTGCTTGTGTCCAGGCTGGGGACCAGGCACTGTGCTTCTCCTGCTATGAGGATGGAAGACAGAGTCTCTCAGTGGTGGGTATATGCCCATGAGGTGGGAGCAGTAACCACATGGTTTGTGCCATGTTTGTAACAGGCATAAAAATATTCCTCTGGAAGAAAAGAGAAAATAAACAGGCTGTTTTAAATCTCTCCTCCTGAAACACATTTTGTCAATGTTAAATCATTTCAGCTACTAGACCATATGGCCAGGCACAGAACAAGTCCCCAAAATACTCTGAATGTCGGGTTCCTCAATGTCACCTGTCAGCATCATTTAGAGACTATTCAGTAGTTGTCACCAAGGCTGATCAGAACAGCAACACTTGCGTTTATAAAAAGCTAAGTTTCCAGAATCTGAAAGAGGCGCTTACTCAGACCTGGAGCCCATCTCCAAACTCAGACGCTCGCTCCAAACCCACTGAGGGACCATTCAGGCAGAAGCCAGGTTCTCAGAGCAGACCAGCTCCCGCTACAGACCATACCTCCCACAGGCCAGCATTTCTACCAAGGCACCCAGAGGGACTCGGGAACTGCTGGCGGCTTCTGATTCCTTGGGGTGGGTGTTCTACCATGGCGGGGCAGAAAACCCCACAGGTTCTCCCAGACAGGAGGAGGCACTGCTGCCCACTGTGTCACGGCCTCACTACTGTCACTGCCAGCCACTTCTCTTATTGCCACCCAACACCCAATAAGCAGCAACTTAGGGAGAGAGGGCAGATTCGGCTCACAATTTTAGTAGATACAGTCCATCATGGCAGGGAAGGCATGGCTGGGACAGCTTGTGACTAGGGGTGACAAGAACAGAAGGCTGCCTGCTCACGTCTCCCCAGAGGGCAGACATGGGACAGAGAGAAAGGCTGGGCTGTCTTCCCCAGGACTGCACCGTAGAGATGCACTTGACCATCTCCTAAAGTTTCTACAACCTCTCAAAAGAGTGCACCAAACCAACCAACCAAATGGACAATGTACTTCCCATCCACTGAGAAAGGGGGCCCACAGAGTCTGGGAGAGACCCCTGGGCAGGAGGATCACACTGTACATTACAAGTTTCCCAACACAATCTCAGCACACACTGATCCCTCTGCCTTAGAAAGCAGACTGAGCTTTGCTTGTGAAAGGCCTATTGGGAGCATGGGCTGGGCTGTAGAAAAGGGGCAGCCCTCCTAACCATCACTGTTGTTCAGAGGCAGCCTAGCCTCATAATCATGCTTAACAGATCCCTCCTCCATCTCTGAATGGAAAGTGCAAAGTAGTGACTCTTCTGGTCCCACCATGCAGGAATGACATTGGGGCACATCTGAGGAACTGTAAGAGCCCACAACAAACTTCCCAGCCCACGGTGATATCCCTAGAACCTTCCCTCAGCTAACAGCCAAAAGACACGAAAGTGTAAGAATCAGGAGTGGAAGGGAGAGGAAAAACCGAGTTCTTAAACTTAGTCCCAATGGCTGGTCCTGGTCAATCACACCCTGAGGGTGGGACCGGGCGGGGTCTGAGTGGTGCCAGGCGGCCTTGAGATGCTGCTTCACCCTTATGCCCACTGTACTGACCAGCTTGTGGAGCTCTGTCCTGCGCAGATGGGCAGAGGACAAGGTTCTCCTGTGAGGTCT